TTGAGGGTAGGCTCACCCAGGTTGAAAGATACTATTTTACCATAAGTCTCACCATTTATGACCTTCCTAGGGGATTCTATCGGGTGTGACTCACTTAATGATCATATCATTTAATGATGGAAGTTCAGGCCCAATTGTAGTCATAAGTCGAGGGTTACCCATAGACTTTGTGACAGTTATCCATGCTTTGGTTCTCACCTGTCTTAATTATTGCATTGTACCTGTGGCTGCTTTTGAAAAATGTTCAGAAATTTCAGGCATGTAAAATGTAGTTAATACGGTTCAGGGTTCATATAATTCGTCACTGAAAGATCAGTACTGGCTACCAATCACCTTCTAATCACAATTCAAGGTTTGATTCCTAAAGCACTAAACAGCCTATCTGCAGTTCAGTTTCTCCTGATATAAATCTGCCTAACTGTTCAAATCAATAGGGAAAGGCGGCTTAAAATGCTCCTGTTATTGGAGGCCCTTCTATCCAATACACAAGGAATTACATTTTCCTGTGTGGTTGTGGGATGATACAGTAAGACACAGTATTTGGGAATTTGGTAAAAAGAGTTCTTTTGCCAAGATGTTATTCATTTTTTAAATATTTGTTTTTATCAAGATTTTAATCCATATATACCTCAGAAGTAGCTTATAAGATACATGAATTACAACATGGGGCAAATGTCAAGTCTAGTAACATACAATAAGAAAGGAACATTTAATTAAAAATGTATGAACCTAAATTTATGATTTATAGGAGTTCATTGCACACTTTGCTTCTGGTGTGAACATATTATGCTATTTATATTTTGAAAATTGCAATTCCTGCCACACATTATTTTCCCTGCTTTGTAAATGAGTTGTGTTACTATGATATAAAAATGAATCAGCGATTTGAGTGAAAATTAATTGTTGAAATCCAAACTTGTAGTTCTATGAATTGTATCTACAGAAGCTCCAGGAAAAGGAAAAGGCTGTTCAGTTAGAACCTGGAAGAGAAAGGAGGAAACAGTAGGAGGTTTATAAATATTTTTTCCAGTTTGAATATGCAAAATGAAAAAAGTTTTGAAGTTCTATAGAACTTGATACCTTCTGATGAAAGATAAATCAAAATCTCTCTCTCTCTCTCTCTTACACATACACACACACACACACATACCCACATATGCATCAAAAGAAATATATCACTATATTAACCATGCATGCGTGACAATGAATCCCATCAGCTTCAGTGGGACTTATTACGTATTTCAGAATAAATATGATTGCTAAGAATGAGATTGAATTTGAGACAATCTGAATCCTATTACATTGTTTTGGCTTTTCCAAGTAAAGGGAAATTGTCCTAGCAATACTTTAGGAATGGAATCAGTACCTTCTTTGTTACAATCAGAATTTGATTTTTATTATAAAAGAGACATGGCATAAATTGTAACACTTGTGGTCTAAATTTCTGATTTCACTGTCCCGCTCCACTGGTTCTACATATGGCAGACCATTGCAGTCACAATTTTCAGCTGGCAGAATTGTTGACTATGTTATTGACCAGTTAGGAATTCAAATTGTGGTTGAATATGTTAGAGGGCATCAACTCACAGAAAGCTTGCCTAGATTCTGATTTGTATTTCTTCTGCTGAATAGATGATTGAAATCTACTTCTCTTGGTAGTTTTAATCACACTCCCACAGGCTTTGGTGTCGACAGAGCAGATGGTGATAACTGTTGGGTTGTGGTTTGCACATTTTGACAGTATACTTTTAAGATTCATAAGAAGTATGAAAAAGCAAAACAACTGTTAATAGACTTATGTCAACAAAATATATGCTTGGAATTTATTAGTCTTATAATATTTTAATTTTTGTATTTTTAGCATCTGTTAACAGAGAAAGGAGAAGGAATATAACAGCTGCTGAGGCTCTATTGTACTGACAAATACATTGAACTCGTTGGGTGGTTTTACACCCCTGCTTTATACAAGGCTATATGTGCTGATAATAGCACTTCCTTTTATTAAAATGGCATCTGTACAGATTTTTTTAAAATGCAGACTAAATCAAATGTAATGGGGGGACTGATTTGACGAAACCTGAAGCAGGACCTCCTCCCTGCCCCCGTTTGCTGTGCTTTGGAAAAGATATTCAGACACTGTGTGGGAGTTCTCCGAGAGGCATGGTAAACTGAAAATGACTCTGTGAAAGCATAACCAAAAAGTGTAGCAAAGACCAAAGAACAGTGAGTAGACTTTTCAGAACCTCTCTAGAGGAGAGGATGGAAGGTCACCCATGTGGACTCCACATGGCTGCTCCTTGTAAGGAGATGCAGGATAGCAGTCTTCCACAGGTTTGAGTACCTGGGAGATGAAGGGATTAGCCATCTTGCTCACAATCAGAGCAAAGGACACTAAGTTTGCAAGCCTCGATTTCTAATCATTTTCAGAAATTCCTTATCTAATCATCGAAAAGTTATTAGAAACCATCAGAATAACAAGTTTAAAAAGTTGCTAAGTGAGCTGAGTTTCAGCTCTGAACAAAAGAAAAAATAATTATAAGCTTACGAGCTTAAAGAGTTTGAAATATACAGCAGAAAGCTAAATAAAATTTTGATCTAAGAAGTTATAAACAGACTAAGAATTCAGTTAAATTTGGAATATTGACTTTCACTATAAGATTTTGGAATTAACCCAAACCATAGCTTCTTGTGGGAACCTGATCTTAGGCTAATAACATAGTCTAAGCTAATAACATAAGCTTTATAATTTTAGAAACTGGACACTAGTGAGGACTAAAGGTTCCAAATAGAAAAAAATCCAAGCCTGTTCAAAATGAAAAAAATAACCATAACACTGGAAATATTAAAGGAGATATTTGAAGAGTAGAGCTAGAAATTAGTAGGTACAATAAAAATGGTTTCAGTTAATGATGTTGGACTAGATGGATATATTATGTTCAAAATATGTTAATGAGAAAATGACAGTTGTGGAGAAAATTTTGTCTGATAAGACAGAAAGGACAGAAAGTGGAACCAGAAATGACAGGCCAATATAATGATTTGGAAAAGGACACTTTATTGGACTTGTACAAACAAACCTGGCTGAAGTTTTAAAAATAAAAAGGGAAATACAAATAACAAACAAGAGAATGATCCAGAAAATGTTTTCTTATTGGCTCTACAAACGGACTCCCAGATGGTGCAGTAGGTAGTGTAGTCCCATCAAGCACCAAAAATAGTAAAGTCCCAGATCCAAAAGGCTCCAAAACCCGGAGCCATTCAGTCTTCCCAGGATTCAGATAAAGCCTGTTGTTTCCTATCCAGACCCCCACAGCTCCAGGCACCAGGACAAGACATCCGTAGCATCACTTAGTTTGCCAGGGGCAGAGGGATATAATTAAGTATCATCATCTTACTCCATGGTAACAGATGATTTCACCCAGCGGTTTCTGTAGATGTTAAATAAAAATGGAGAATACTGAACTGTGCAAAGCCCCACATTGTAGGAGAAAGAACCTTTCACTCCCAATTTTTTATACATATAAAGAAATTAATATGTCAGTAACTCCCCACAAAAAGAGAATCAATATGAATGAATCAATCATTGTTTCCTCATTGTAGCCAACTGTGGGATATATCTGCCTCAGTAAACTGTTATTTCATTGCTTTTGTAGGTTGTTATCTTTATCTGATCCTCCATATTTGAGGCAGCCTTGAGTTCTCTTTTAGCAATAAAAATTAAAGTGTTAAAAGCTGTGCTTTGTTATTTGAGTGCAGCTTTATAGATATATATTTTTATAAAGGAATGTTAAATCCTCTAGTACTGGTGAAGCACTTAGAACTGCTAGCCTCTCATTGGACATCAAAAAAGCTATTTTAACTTTAGATAGTTAAAATAGCAGTTGAAGTTAAGGTAGTTAAATTTGACAAATGAAATTTACATTACAATTCCTCAAGTAATAGTACAGATAGTCCTCGGCTTATGATTACAACTGAGCCCAAAGTTTCTGTTGCTAAGCAAGGCATTTGTTAAGTCATTTTAAGACTTTCCTTGCCACAATTGTTAAGTGAATCACTGCAGTTCTTAAGTTAGTAACACAGTTGTTAAGTGAATCTTGTTTCCTCACTGACTTTGCTTATCAGAGATCACAAAAGGGAATCATGTGACTCTGGGACACTGCAACCATCAAAAATATGAAGCGTTGAATTTTGATAATGTGACCATAGGGATGTTGCAAAGACCATAACTATGAAAAATGGTCATAAGTAACATTTTTGCTGTTGTAACTTTGAATGGTCACTAAACAAACTGTTGTAAATCAAGGATTACCTCTACTAGTATTATATCTTCTTAGGCCGGCTACCTGCAGTTCGGCAGTTCAATTCTCACCAACTCAAGTTTAATTCAGCTTTCCATCCTTCTGATGTAGATAAAATGAGGAACCAAATTGTTGGGGGCAATATGCTGATTCTGCAAAACTACGTGGAGAGGGCTGTAAAGCACTGTGAAGAGGTATATAAGTCTAAGTTCTATTGCTACCTACTGTAGTACACACTACAAACTTTGCCAAGGTTAGAAAACAAATGGATTGTTTGGCAGGAACAAGCATAGAGGTATCAAGAACAAGTCATGTCAAACTAGCTTTATCTCCCTGTTTGATAGAATCATCAGTTTAGTTAATCATAGGAATGTAGTGAACATAATGTATCTTGACTTTAGCAAAGCATTCAACAGTCTCCCATAAGATGCTAATAGACCAGATGGAAAATTTTGGGCTAGACTATGCTATCAGTAAATGGATTCAGAACTGGTTGAATGAACATACCCAATAAGTGCACATTAATGGAACTGTGTAAAGCTGAAACAAGGAATAAGTAGCATACAGTAAGTTTCTGTTATAAGGCCTGCATTGTTCAACATACTTGTAAGTTACTTGGATTTGGAACTGGAAATCATGTTTAACAATTTTTCATAAATTAATATGGAGGTAAGGGGATACAGCATCATCTTGAAGGACAGTATGAAGAATCAGGAAGAACTTGATACACCGGAAAAATGGGTAGAAAAGTGGCAAGATAAGTTTCAATTTGCCCTTGAATATGCAAAGTTCTATATTTGGGTATGAAAATCAAAGCCATTGGAATAGAATGGGGTGACATATTGAGCAGACATCATGCAGAAACGGTTGAGGATTCTTGAAGGATCAAAATCTGAACATGAGCCCAACATGTGAAATAATTACAAGAAAACCAAATGTAATTCTGGCCTGTATCAACAGATGTCTAGTGTCAAGATCTAAAGAAAGAAACATTCTTCTATACAGTATTCTGCATTGGTCAACTGAATGCCCCTAGAATATTGCATTTAGTGCAGGGCACATTTTGGAAAGACACTGACAGAATGAAGGATGTCCACAGAATAGAAACCAAGATGACAAGAAGGAAACTTACAAGAACAGTTGGAGTCATTTGGTATGTTTAGCCTGTGCAGTACTATAGAAGAGAAGACAGCAGTGAAATGTAATAGCTGTTTCCACATATCTGATGGCCTGTCTTGTGGAAGATAGACTGGAATTGTTCAGAGTTTTTCCAGAAGTCAGGGGGGAAAAGAGGGTAGATTTCAACTGGGCATGGGGGAAAAATGTAATGAAAAAAGCTGCTCAATGGTGGGGGGGGGAGAGTGCTTGGGTAGGTGTACTCTGTCTCACTGGAGGTGCCTGAACCAAGGCTGGAACGGCCATCTGCTGTAGTAGTATATTCCTGCTCTGAGCAGAGAATTGTACTAAACTAAAGATCTCCAAGCTCCCCTAGAAGCCTTATTTCTAGGATTCTCTACCACAGTGGTAGCGAACCTATGGCACATGTGCCAGAGGCGGCACTCGGAGCCCTCTGTGGGCACACGTGCCGTTGCCCCAGCCTCGCCTCCCCATGACCCCCTCACCAGCAGCCCCCCCAGAGGAGAATCACCCCTGAGCGTGGCCCACATGGAGCAGCGCAGCCAAGCACATGGCAGCCAGGCAGCATAGACAAGACTCTGCCCTCACGCCCCATCCCGCACAGTTGACGCTGCAGGGCGCAGGCAGAGGGCATGGCTGCCATGGCGCTGCTGGGCTGCCTGGGCAATCTGCAGCAGGCCCTGGAGGCAGTGAGTGGCCCTGCAGGCAGGCGGGACAGGGAGTGGAGTGGGGGCGGGGCCAGTTTTTGGGCACTCGGTCTCTAAAAGGTTCACCATCACTGCTCTACCATATAAGTCTGGAAACAGCTTTCATCCACCTGGGCCATTTTGTCTCTGGTTATTTGAAGTCATAGGTCTATTGAGGGTCGATCAAGCCTGCTTGTTATCACGCACCACGGGGTGGTTGTTTGGTGCTGTAACTTGCTAGAGAAAAAACGGCTACAGGCGGAAAGTCAGCTGCAGAACGCTTTTAGAAGGGGACCTCGCGCCGCCATGGCCTGGGCGGAGCGGAGGCCGAGGACAAGGGTTGAACCTTCTGGCACCAGCTCGGAGACCCACCCATCCATTCATACGCGCACACGCACACGCAACTTAAATAACCAGCTGGCCTCAGCCCCGCCAGGAGAATGGCACACATCTGCAGCAGCCTGATTCCCGCCTGGGTGACATCTGGAGGGTTAGGGGGGAAAAGCGACAAGCACGTGGAGCGCCCCAGCGGGCCCGCCCTCAGTAGGAGGGAGGGAGGGAGGGAGGGAGCACCTTTGGCGCGGGAGGGCCGGGGTCGCGTGCGCAAGGGAAGGAGGCGAGGCGGGCTTCCCAGCTCCCAAGGAGAAAAGGGGAACTGGTGAGGCGCGAGGCAGCTGAGGCACAGAGGAAACCACAGAGCGGGGGAAGGGCGGCCGCGGGAGCGGTTCCCTTCTCGTTCGAAGGGTGGGGCGGGGCTGCAGCTGCTGGCATGTCGGACGTACCAGAGCCTCTCCCGCCAGCCGAGGAGCCCTAGGTAGCTGGAGAAGAGCGGGGACCATGGCCCGAGGACCGGGGTGCACGAGAAGGCAGCTGGCTCGCCGTGACCCTGGGAGCTCGGCGTTGCCCGCGCCGCCGCCGCCGCCGCCGCTACCGTCGCTGCTGCTGCTGCTGCTGCTGGCCTGGGCTGCTGCGGGGGCCCGAGGGAATGGGCCCCTCGAGTTCCCGCGTGCCGTTGCTAACCTGGCCGTGAGCGGGGAGCGCTTCCTAGTAGCCAGCGGCAACTGCTGGTACGAAGTGGCGCCTTCGCTGGCGTGGAAGGAGGAGCGCTACTGCGAGCCGCAGGGCAGTTCCTGCGGGAAGCCGGTGGCCTCGGTCAACAAGCTGCTGCTGCCCTTCGGTCGCGACCGCTTGCTCACCTGTTGGACTCAGCCGCGAGGCGTCTGCTACGTCGAAAACCTCACCGATGGGAGCTCCCCGGAGAAGTTGGGCGACGAATTGGTGACCTACGCGCCTAAAGGCGCGGCGGCCGGGCTGTTGTTTTGCGACAATTGCTCAGACTGGTCCTTGGTCGTGGCCACGACCCACAAGCTAAACAAGTGCTTCGATGATCCCTCGGCCAGCCTCGCCAACAAGGCGGTCTTCCTCATCAAAGTACGCGAGAAAAGAGTGGACGAAAACAGCCAGGTGTCCATGAAGGAGGTGTACAACCTGCACTTCGAGGATGCCTTTCGCTGGCAGAAGCACTTCTTTTTCCCTTATTGGCATAACAATGGAAACACGGAGGCCAAGATGCTCATCGCCCGCTATAAGGAAAACGCCTTCCAGCACAATAGCCAGCTCCTGCGATGTGGCGCCGGCAGCGAGACCAAAGTTCTTTCCTCGGCGTACCTGGAGCAACGCGGGCTCTGGGCCGGGATTTTCGGCTCAGCCTCAGGTCCCGCCACGCCGACTTCCACGAGCCTTTGCATCTTTGCTCTCGAAGAGCTGCTGGAAAATGCGAAAAGCTGCAGCTTCAGCGAGCCCTCCACTTCCGAGTTCCATTCGGAATCCGAACCTCCAGACACGTGTGTGAGTACCTTGGGTTATTTGTTGGCTAGATCCCTCGCTAAATCAGCTATATTTTGGGTCGACTTGTTTAGTTGTTGCAAGCTATGTAATTATGAGAGGCAGGACCCCCCGAAAGATATAGAATATTTTGGCAAACTGCTCCTCGCCCCAAAAAGGCATAGCCTTCCAGCCTTAGCAAGCAGATCACAGTGGAAGCCAAAACTAAAAGGACAGTTTAGCCTGGTTTCTGAAAGAGTGATTCACTACTGTATTTGATGGGATACAGCAGTCAAAAGTTATTTCAGATTTTTAATTGTTTCTCCACATTGTTCTTGTTTCCTTTCCATTGGCTTCAGTGAAAAAAAAGTAGATAAAGAATGCTTATGCAACGAGAAGAAAGCTGGTGGTATGAGACTCTGGGATTTGGAGATGCTTTAAAGGAGAATTGACTGTAGCTTAGGTTGAATGAGGGGTCCTTGGTGCTCTCTGAATTTGGTTGTTTTCTTGCAGACATTTCATTACCCAAACTAGGTACCATCATCAGGACTAGCACTAGTACCAAAGTCCCCTCATATAAAGGTATCATTACTTCTTTTATGGCTGTGTGAAGGGGGAACAATTATTTTATATCTAATCTTTCCACCAATGAATAGCGCTCATCCACATCCAGATTCAATTCGACTGAAAACAGTGGTGGAAAGCTAGGAGTTTTCTCTGATAGTGGAAAGCTAGGAGTTCTAATGTATTGATCAATTTCACTGGGCATTAGGATTGCTGGGGTCTTGACTGATATAGCTGACATTGCGGTAATAATCTTCAGTTGCAGAATGAAATAATAGATTGGAAACTTTCAAGTGACTTTTTATATTGCTCCTATTCTTCGGTATACTTGTGAACTCAACGTAATAACATCATTTAGAATGGCAGTGGTAAAAATATTTAGTAAGAGTTCATTGCCTAGTTTAATCTGTGTGATGATAATTATGAATCTTAAGTTCACATGTTTTTCAAAGGATGGGTGATCTTTTCTGAGCAGCCTGTGACAATTGGCCTAGTTTTAAATACTCCCTGCAAAAGGTGCTGTAAATCCAGATATTTAGTGTCTTGTTAATTTCCTGCAGTCTTTTTCTTGGGAGAGAGAAACAAAGATGTGAAAAAGAATGGGAGACAGAAGGGGGGAAGCAATGAAGGAGAACATTTGTAATTCAGGGTTGAAATAAGGGGTCTTTGGTGCTCTCTGAGTTTGGATGTTTTCTTGCAGATGTTTCTTTACCCAAACTAAGTAACATAATCAGTGCTAGCAGTGATGATGTCAGCTAGTTTGGGTAATGAAATGTCTGCAAGAAAACAACCAAGCTCAGCACTAAAGACCCTTTAAAAAGGGAAGTGTTGGAAAGAGAGAAATATTACGTGTCCTTATCCACTTTTGATAGAAAGCTGGATCCAAGAAGTTGCCACATCCCACAAAAAGAAGAAATCCTCCCATTCCTTCCATCCTTAAAAGTAATGCAATCATTCCTGTAGACATGAACCTCCATAGGGCTCTAAAAATATAATAGTGTAGGCTAATGATAAAGACTCTTTTTCGGCTAAGCATTTGTTGTAGACTAACGGCAAAGGCTAGGGTCTTTGGGCTGACTTTTTCTTCCTGAATACATTTCAGTTTGGGCGCTAAAACATTTTTCCTGCCAAAAACCAAATAAACCGAATGGGGAAAAGAAATGCAATCCCATTATTTTTCTGGGTCTCTTGCTGCTTTTTGATGTCATCAAAGATTATATCCATTTTGAACTGTGATGTGCAATCTTTATCTATTCACCAATTACTAGAAAGCTGTGCTGGAATATTCAGTCATACTGAAAATGCAGCACAGTTTAGCTGGCTGTTATCTTATTGCTACTTAACATTGACCTTAAACTGCTGGCTGAGACCAATTGTAGTGCACTGTGGTTTGCATGCAAATAATTCACATATCCGTAACCATACTTAATCATAGTTTGGATAAACTTAAATAACCACATACAATACTGAGTCATAATTTATTTTAATCATTGTTTTAACATATTTCAATTAAAATTGTAGTTGGCTGTATTACTTATCTAATAAACATCTAATAAACAAGAAAATCACATCATGGATTAGTGTAGTCTGTAAATTCATCTTATTTTTCATTCTCTTCTTTTATTTTTAAAAAGTTATAATATTCAAAAAAGTCAAACCAAGAGAGAGAAGAAAATAATATCAAAATAAAAAATAAATTGAATAAAAGCCTGTTCAAAGCAGAAGCTAACATGTCCCATACAGTAATATGTTCAGACCCAACAGTTTCTGCTGTGATTGCTATGGCCAGAATTTCCTAGAAATTATGTAATCCTAACTGTTTAACAGGAAGCATACTATTGCCTATTGGGATTAAGTAATTTATAATTGGAAGATAACAGGGCATTTCAAAAGCACCATCTCAGTATCTGTCTGAGCATACGGTATGTGTAAGAGCTCCAGACAGGGGATATTATTGAATTTCCTAGTCAATACCTTTGCGGGCAAATTGTCCAGGCATGTCAGTTTGAGTGCCCTCCTAAGTAAGAGTAAAAGTATACAGGGAAAGTATTTGGGGTTGATGAAAGGTGGATCCACAACCTCATCGTAGCAGAGATCTGAAGTGTTTATTCCTCTTTACATCAAGATCAAAAAATTTTTGCCTGACTTTGCTCCAGGCTTTCAACCCCAGAAGTAGATACTGTTTCCTAGTCTCCTTTTAACTCAACTTTGTGTTGACTATTTTAACTTTTGGAATCTGTGGTGCATGGCATATATCTATTAGATATTTTATTAATTTTGAATTTTAATTGTATTTGTATTTTGCAGTTTTAATCTGTTCAAAATCTAGAAATATTAATTATATGGGATTTTTAAGATGTTTAAATATGTCAATAGATCTTAGATCCAAATGATAATTTGTTGTAGGTTATATATTATTGCATTCTTTCATTATTGTGTATGCATTGTTTGTAACTACCTTAAAAACATTTAGTAAAAATCTGTTTAAAATTAGCTATCAGCTATTGTACAATTTTTAAACAAATTTTATTTTCCGTGTTCTGCAATTCAGGCCATTTTGTAGGACAATATCCCATGTTGATCTCACCTGTTTTTAATTTTCAGCAAATGTGTGCGTGTAGTAATACTGTACAATTTAATATTCTATCCAATTGTTTTAGTAATAACTTCAAGGGATGTATTCCATAATGTGATAATACAATTTCTGTTTTTTTAAATCTTCACAATTCTTAAAATTGACTTATAATTTTAGTAGACATGTTTTTGCAAATTTCATTTGAAGAATTGTTATTCCCTTCAGCAATTATTCCCATATATATATAATTGATTGTATTTTAATATTATTCTGTTTCAATTTTCCATCACCTAAAGCAGGGCTTTTCAACCAGTGGTACGGGTACCACCTGTGGTACATTGGCACCTGGCAGATGGTACGTGACCATCCTAGAAAAGTAGTAGTGAGGGAGGGGGATGAGCTGAACCGGTGGCAGCACTGCACGAGCCTGAGCGAGAGATGGCTGGAGCTGCAGGGCTGTCAGGGCTCAGCAGAAGCACCAGAATCAGTGCCGCTTTCCAGCTGATTGGCGCTTCTTTGGGGCTGTCAGGGCTCAGTGGAAACACCAGGATCAGTGCCAGGCTCCAGCTGGAGCTTGGCGCTGATCCTAGTGCTTCTGCTGAGCCCTGAAGAAGCACCAATCAGCTGGAATGTTGCAGCATCTCCAGGATCTTGTGATTTACATTCAGATGCTTGGCAACTGATTCATATTTATGACGCTCACAGTGTCCCAGGGTCATGTGAAGTGACCAAAACCTGCTGCAACCACCCAGCAGATTGGGGAAATAAAAACCAAACACCCCCCCACCCCACACCTGCTGCCAATCCTCAACAGAAATGCTCACAACAATGAAAACCTCAGACAGGAGGAAGAGCGCCGCTGGGCGGGCAGGTGTCTTGCTCGGCTGTGGCTTGGGGGGCCCTTTTTTCAGTGCCATTGTAACTTTGAACAGTCACTAAGCAAACTGTTGTAAGTCGAGGACTACCTGTCACTCGACTTTATCACTTTTTTCCTTTTTTTTTTTTGGTCATCAAGTTTTTGACACCTTGCTGGTGGTACTCAGATGTTGCCATATCCTAAAAGTGGTACAATGGGTGAAAAGGTTGAAAAGCCCTGACCTAAAGGAGCTGAAAGTGCAATTTAGACAATTACAGAGTAGATTAACCTGGTGCATATTAAATAAAATGTTATTTTTAACAGTCTTCCATATATAGGAAATGTTAAAATTAGTTCAGATCTTTGAGTTTTTTATGCATAAAGAATAAGAAGATATAATCCTGAGGATGACCCACCCAATATTAAATATTACCAAGCCTCTGTGATTTCCGTTGAAATGATTTGAACATGTTTAAATTTCCATTATAGGCAGTGGGCTTTAAAAATACGTATCATTGGTGAACAGCAAAAAATAATGTCTAACTAACTGAACATATATTGCAAAAGATCATATGATATTACTTAAGGAAAAAGGAACTTGGAATTATAATGGTAACATACAATTTAGATATTTTTTTATTTTAAAGGTTTAATCAAACCTTAAGATGTGTATATGCTTAGTTACATTACCACCTTATGACAGAATATAGAAAATATATAGTTTGATTCACTTTTCAAGTAAAAGTGCAAATGTTTATCACATGGGTCAAAATTATTTGGTGCTGTACTATTGTCATTTGTTACCTAAAATAGAAAATTAAAAAAGGGGAGGGATTGAACAGATAGAATCATAAGGCTGTTAGCCATGTTTCTTATTTGATTTAGTGATATTTATTCTCTTTTTTATTATTATTACATTTTATTAAACATCTAAATTAAAAAAATTCAAATGAAAGTTAACATCATTAGTAAAAGCAAAGTATATCACAGTATCACACTGTAATATAATATGGAAGATAAAATAAACAA